TCACTGCATGACCTTCAATTAGTCACTGCCTCTCAGGCTTCAGCCCATGGCTGGTCCACGGGCCCGGGGATGGATGCCGCACAGGGTACCCTTTTAGCCGGGGCATTCCACTCCTGTGCTCTCTGGAGAGGCCCAAAGGAAGGGCCAGCGGGGTGCCCAGGTGGAGAGGGGAGGTGGGTGGAGGCTGGAGCAGGAGGCGTGGGCTGACCAGGAAGAGGGGCTCTCTCAACAGTAGCCCCCTCAGCCGACCGGGCCAAGGCTGGGGGTCATTAGGGCAGGCACTCACGCAGTGGCGAGGTGCCCCAATGGCCTTGCATGCCCGTGGTGCCTACCAGACCAGGGCTCGGGTCCCCAGTCAGTCACGTCACCGGTGGGGCCAGTTCCAAAACTCAACCCGGTGCCAGAGCACCAGTCATGCAGGACCGTGCATCTGCACGGGGATTTGCGTGCTTCTCGAGCTCATGGTTCCATCCCAGGACAGGGCACCCAGCATCTCATGGCACCCAGGGGTCCCTGTAAAGCTCCTGGCACCCTGGGTCCATCTTTCTCTTCCTGAAAACATTCTTGAGTGTATAAATGCACGCACCAACCTGGTCTAGAGGTCTCAGTCCCAGGGGCTGAGGATTTAGCTCAGTGGTTCCAGCGCTGGACTTGCAAGCGCAGGTCCTGAGTTCCATCCCTGGTACCAGAAAAAAAACCTTCCCCCCAAATTTGCTGGGGATTTAGCTCAGTGGTTTCACCGCCTGCCTTGCAAGCGCAAAGACCTGAGTTCGATCCCCGGTACCAAAAAAACAAAAAACAAAAACAAAATGGCACACTAGAGCTCTCAGTCCCCCTTTGTGCTCTACTGCTGCCCAAGCAAGGACTGAGCTTAAAAGAACTTGACACACTCCCACGTGGCCCCCAGGATGGGGGAGCTGCCATGGGAGGGGACAGCTGTCCTTTACTTCCACTTCATCCTGTGTCTAGACCCCACCTGCGACAGTGGAGAGGATGGCCTATTACAGCAATTAGATAGATGTCAACAGGGCCAGGATTCAGCTCAGTGGTTCCACTGCCTGCCTCGCAAGTGGAAGGTCCTGAGTTCGATCCCTAGCACAAAAAAAAAAAAAAAAAAAGATGCCTTTAGATAGACATCAACCAGGTGTGGGGGCACAAGTCTATCACTCTAGCACTCAGGAGGCTGCCCCAGGAGAAGCAGAAGTTTGAGGCCAGCCTGGGCTATACCCAGTTCAAGGGCAGCCTGGACTACACCTCAAGACCCTGCCTCAGAAAAAAAGGTTAGAGGTCACACTATGTGAGAAAGGACCTCTCAGGGCTGAGCCTGGACTCAAAGTAGTCTCAAGGGCTTTGTGGGAAACCACCCAAGCAAGCATGGGGAGTTAGTGACAGCCAGGGGGACACGGAGCCCCAGGCAGTGTGATCGACCAATGGGGCTGGCAGACACCCAGCCCCCCCCCGAACTCTGACCTCCATCTGTCCAGTTACAGCACCTGCAGTCCGGCCACACCTCTGCAACAGCGAGCCCCACGGGTCTCCTGGCCTGGGAAGCCCTCCCTGCTATCTAGCCCCATCCCTCGAGCCGTCACCAATTCTTCCACTACCACCTAGGCCCTTGTAGTCATCTACACCAGAGGTGGACAGGGGCCCCTGGCCATCAGAAGTCCTGTGGGGAGAGGCGGGAACCGTTGGGGTTGTGACGGTTAGTGTGTCACCTTCCATCTCCCCACCCTACTTCCCCCGGGGTCTCAGGAGACAGAAGTGAAAGCGGCAGCTGGGCCTTGGGGGCGGGTCAGCGTGAGAGCCGTTGGGATGAGAGCAATGCCGAAATCGAGCGAGAGCGGAGAGCCGCGTCTGAGCTCCTGCCGCTGTCAGGAGGGACTTCCGGTGGAAAGGAGAAGGGGGGTGCGTCCCAGCTGAAGGAAAAGCTGGCTGGAGAGGCAAAAGTGGGGAGCAGCAGGGACACAGTCTCAGAAGGGCGCCTCTTCCAGGTCGCTTAGAGCACCAAGGTCTCTGTTCTCACCCGCAGAGCAGAGGCAGGGCTGCTCTGGCTGAAGCAGACAAGGGGGCCACGCCTGGGCTGCGGGGACCCGAGGCGAGGCGGGGAGGGAGGGCCTGGGGCCTGGGGCCTCTGACTGGACGGCACAGCTGGCGCGCAGCACTCAGTTCACCTCCGCCTAGGACAGGGGCCCTCAAAGAGGCCAATCCACTCAGGGAGCAAATCCTCCTAAACACCATGCCCTCCAGAAGCCACCAGGATTTAAAGAGGCCGCTGGGGCAGTGGCAGGGGCTGGGGCTCCTTGGGACTCCAAGGACAGTCCTCTAAGCCCATGGCAGGGAGGGAGCGTGGCGGGCAGCAGGCAGCTCTTACAGGATTAGCTTGCTGCTCTCAGGAGAGGTGCCAGGTGGGGCTGAGAAGCCCAGGCAGTGCAGGGGCCCTGGAGGACTGGGTAGGGGTGGGGCAGGACCTGCAAAAGGCCCTTCGACATGTGTCCCCAGATCTGTGCCCCTCGCCAAAACCTGGCTTCTCAGGCCCTCACGAGGACACCGAGCAAACACCCCTCTGGCTTGGCAAGGAAGGGCCCCTGCCCACCAGGAGCTCCCTCCACTCTGCCCGTCCCACTGTCTCTCATCTCAACTTTACAACCAGAGCCCCACCCCGAGAACAGGTGAGGGCTCCCCTCCCCTGCCCCACGTCCCCTTCCCCACGTCCCCTTCCCCCACAGGCTGACAGGTGGGGGAGACAGAAAGCAGCAGCTGGGCCGGGACACCTGTCCCCACTCAGCCTGCCACAGGGTCCTGACGGGACATCAGTGCAGAGGCAGGCAGAGTGGGGCTGACCGGGAGGTACAGAGGTCAAGAGGAGAGGCTCTGGGAAGGTCTGAGGCACCAGCTCTGGGGCAGCCATTCTGCTGGCCTAGCCCATCACCCCTACGCTCACGCCTGCGGGAGGGGAAAACCTCAGGGTCAAGGGCGTCCCTGACCGCCTCGGTCCCTCTAAGATGGGGAGAGCCCAGCAGGGCGAAGCTCTGCTCTCCCCCCTCGCCTCTCAACAGGTGCCTCCCTTGGGGCTGGGGAATGGTCTCTGATGTGTTACAGCTGCTGGTGGGCTTGGGGGGAGGAAATGAGGGGGAATAAGAAGCGTACACCTGGGGACCCTGGAGATCGAACGACCGAGCGAGGTACAGAGGGCCAGGCCCTGAGTCACGAGCGGCAGGACAGCAGGACAGCAGGGCAGCGCTGGGCTCGGCGCAGCCCCTCACCCCACACCCCGAGCCCTGACCCGCAAGGCCCTTCTCAGCCCCTCGCTCCACACCCTCGCAGGCAGGCACCAGGCGGCAGGCAGCAGGCCCCGGGCCAGGCTGAGCCGCAGCCGCTGTCAGAGCCGCCCCACCTCCTTCCTTCCCATGGGAGTCTGCGGACGTCCTCCCCTTCTCCCCTTTTCTCCCGGTCTCAGACAGGGACCCACTGCACAGGGGCACAGACTTGCCCGGGGCGCGGATGAGGGGAAGAGGAGGCTGGACTGAGAGCAAGGCGGCCTCCCTCCCCGGGTTACACTCCTTCCTCTGCGGCTGTGCCACTGCCCTCACCCTCCACATGTGCTTCTCCCTCCTGGGTGGCAGCTGAAGGGTCCTGACAGGAGCCCGCACAGGGCTCCAGCCCTTCCCTCCTGTGCCCACGCCCTGGCTTTGGGCTCTCCCATGGCCCTCCAATCTCAAGACAGGGCCCTCTCTGGGAGTCCAGGCAACACCCCTCAACTGCCCCAAGCCCTAACGCTGCTTCGGCCAGGACAGCCTACCGGGCTGGACTTGATGACTTCTCCTCAAAGGTCTCCCTGGCCTCCTTTCCATCACCCTGCCCGCCAGGCAGGGGCCTTCCTTTGACCTCAGACAAAAGCTCAGTGGTAGAACATTTGCCTAGCATGTACCCGCCCTGGTTCAATCCCCACTACCACCAAAACAACAAAACAAAACCAAACCCTTGCCAGGGTGGGTGGTACATGCCTGTAACCCCCACACTTGGGAGGCTGAGGCAGGAGGATTGTGAATTTGAAGGAAGCCTGTGCTATACAGAGTTCAAAGGCCAGCCCAACTATATAGGGAGACCCTATCTCAACGATAACAATAACAAGAATAATAAATTTTTAATTAAAAAATAAAAACTCAACCCCTCAAACTGGGAAAGCTTAGCTACATCATTTAAATCTGAGATTTAGTTTCCCCAATTACAAAAAAAAAATTAGTTGCGTGGACAAACCACGTTTGCAGGTCACAGCAGCCCCCACAGAGTCTGGCTACAAACTGGGGCTTCCTGCCTCCAGCCCCACCATACACGAGTCCCTGTCCTCATACCCTGGAGAACTGGGCCAACAGGATCTGGCCTAAAGGGGAGGCTCCTTTGACCAGGGAGCAGAAAAGGCTCCTTGCCTGGCACTCAACTGTCTGCCCACCTCTCGGGGAGCAGCCCAGAGCACCCGGCCAAGGGCACCAAGCCAAGGCCAGTGACCAGGCCTGAGTGCAGTGCCTCCCGGGAGGGCATGTTTAAATGAGTAAATATGGTCCCGCCTGGGTGTGGCCAGCCACAGGCCAGAGCCTGGGACAAGTCCCTCCCTCCCAGCCTAGGCAGAAAGGAGGATGCCAGACAGCAGGCACCAGGGCCCTGTGCAGAGTTCGAACACATCCCCTGTCCCTCTGTCCCCCTGTCCCCAACTGCCAGTGCCAGCCAGAAGCCTGGCTTGGTCCCCTCAGGGCCCTGGCTGTAGCCTGGGAAAAGGACAAAGTCAGGTGTGGAGGGCTCGGCTGGATCACCCAGGCTGAGGGTCCTCGCCCAGATGCCCAAGGACTCAAAGGCAGCCCTGACCCTCAGACTGGCCTCGCTCATCAGGGTGAGAAAGAGGGCAGCAGAGACCAAGACAAACCACCCAGATACCCAGGGGCTCGGATCACCGAAAGGTGAGACTCGGGGACACCTGGAAAGCAGAGGCCCCGGGGGCGACTTACCCAAGGACACAAGGCCAGTCTGGGGGACCACAGAGGGAGAGGCGGGAGGGATGGACATCAGCCAGGGCTCCCGGACTCACAGCCACGCTCTCTACTTTGCAGACAGGGCCCTGCCTGCCCATCTGCGGTCTAACCTCAGTCCCTCCTGCTCCGGCCCAGGCCCCTGCTTCAGAATTCTTGCTGTGCCCTTCGCCTCCCTGCCTCCGGTCTGCCACCCCATCCTTACTCTCCAATCCTTTAATCATCTTTGCCATTTGCTCACCCCCACCCCCCACAGGGTGGCAGCTGCTCTGTGGGTGTCTACACACCCAAGTATGCACCCCACACCTTCATGCATGCGTGCCACTGAACACCGTGGGCCTGCCAGGTGCACCTGGGCCTGCCAGTCTGCACGACCCCCACCCTGCCTGCCTGGCTCCAGGACACACGCTTCACAGAGCTGTCCATCCCAAGCGGGGGGAGAGAAGGGGAAATAAATACTCCAGGAGCCAAACAGCACCAGCTCCACCAGGCCGAAGGTCAAGGCCTTTCAGCAGAGCACTGGAGAAGAAAGTGCTTTGAGATCCCCTCTCTTGTTAAGGGCCATCTTTCTCTTCCTAACCTAGCTCTGCTGGTAAAGCCCCCCATCCCCCCAACCCTACAGCACTGGTGATTGAACCCAGGGCTCTGTGCACGTTTGGCAAGGGCTCTACCATTGCGCTACATCATTTATTCATTTATTTATTTATTTGAGACAGAGTCTCACTATGCTGCCCAGGCTGGCCTCAAATTTACAATCCTCCTGCCTCAGCCTCCTGAGGAGCTGCAGGGGGGAGTTCTTCCTGAAGTCTAAGCTCCATCCAGCCTGCTGTCATTGTGGACAGACAAGGCAACATCAACCACAACACAGCCAGCTGTCGGCTTCTAGAACAGAGCTCTTGGCATTTAACACCACCCTTTCCCCCATGAGTAAGTCACCAAACTGGGACAGAAGGACAGAAGGCTGGCCGGACTCCGGCCCCATGACAGGCTCATAAAAGCCACTGGCAATTACAGTGATGCTGAGGCTGTGCTGGCCCCACCACAATCTTCCCCTTCCTTCCTCCCTGTAAAAGGGATGCAATGCTCACACCGGCTGGTCCCAGGGATGGAGACCTTCTCCACCATGGTGCTGCAGACCCCAGATGTGACCCCCATGGCAGGCTCCAGGGCTGCACGGGATCCCACACATTTCAGACCTGGGGGAGACGCAGCTGTGACTGCCCTGGCCAGCAGGCCATCCTCTGACGCCTCTCCTCCATGAAGGCCTTCACTGTCTGGACTAGACAGGGAGCAGCTGGCTCAAAGGCAGCGAGCACATGCTGGGCCCACCGCTTGTCCCCAGACCCTCTTCCACCAAGTGTGTCCACCGGGGCCCACACCAGGGCAAGGCAAGCACTAGGACTCCCTGACCCAGTTGGAGGGGGCAGGCCCAGGCCTCTCTGGGGCATGGGGGTCAGGGGTGTGCACAGCAGAAACCCCTTCCCACGGCAGGGCCAGCAGAGAGGGTGGGAGTGGCTGGGCCACAGTCAGTAAGGGCCTAACCCCAAGGCCTCGTCGGGCCAGGGCCCAGATGCCTTGCTGCTGCTGCTCCAGCCTCCAACCTGGGGAGATGCCCTCCGCCTTCTCCTCCCCATCACACCTCCCAGGAAAGATGAAAAAAAAGCCCTGCTGGAGAGAGATTATATAACAGCAGCCAGAAAGACTATCACATCTTCCAGTCTATGAGAGGAGCCAGGAGTCAGGAAAGGCAGAACCATGAAGCCCAGGGGCACCAGGCACAGAGTGGGATGGACAAGGGGCAGCACCTGCCACTACTCCAAGTCCTTCACCACTCAGCTTCAGGCACTGGGCACAACAGTCATTAGCTCCAGCCCAACCCCCACCCCTTCCCTTCCCCCAACACAAAGGCTGTCACGCTCTCTGGCTGGGTCCTGCTTCTCCCCTTGGAGCAGGGGCCCCAAGAGCAAGGCTTGTATGTCTTCCTTCCTAGAGCTCCTCTGTACTATGCAGCACGCCCCAGAGAGTGGAAGGACTAATGCTCTGACAGAGACGTGCTGCGTGATGTCAGGAAAAAGCTCAACCTCTCTGATCACTCACTACAGTAGTGTCAGTTAAAATTCCTCCCCAGTCCAGAGAAACTCCTTACAAATGTGCACGTGGATGCACACACACACACACACACACACACACGGACACACACCTGGAAACACACAAAGGTGTGATGGGGACAGGGGAGTTCCGACAGACTCAAGGGCCCAGTGCCAGGCCTGGGGCAGGTGGGAAAAGCGCTACATGGAAACTTCAGCACGCCCCAGTTACCCTACATGAAAAGGCCCTCGGCCACTCACTCCTACACTGATCCCACCCCCCACCCCGCTCCTGCCAACACACTGGGAAACCACAGGAAGGAAATTCATTCCCAGGCAGGCCGTGGGAGCCAGGACAGCCAGGCCAGTCCCAGAGCCAGGGTGACCCCATGGCCACAAGTTAGCGGACATCTGTGAACAGACACGTTCCTTTTCAGTGCTCTCCTCAGCTACTAAGAGCTCCCTGCCTGGGGACTGGTGGGGACGGGGAGGGGACAGCTCCCTAAGTCCAGAGCACCCAATCTCTGGCCAGTGCAGGCTCCGCTCCTATCTCCAGGCCAGAGCAGCCCAAGGTCACGGGCCCAGACGGCGAACTTCCCATAGTCCAGGGTGGGCCCTGAATATCAGTGGAGAACTACAGAGGGGGTGAGGGAGGGGAAGGAGAGCCACCCCCAGCCCAAAGACACGAGGCCTCTCAAGAACTCAAATGGGGGGGCTGGGCAGGAGGACACAGGATCTGCCCTTTGCGACCTCCCCCAGCCCAGCAACAATGCAGGAGGTGAGGGGAGCGGAATGGCAGGCCCAGGATAACCCAGACAGTGGCCCGCCCGGTGCCCCTACCCAGGAGCCCTCCTCCTCTGGGGGGACCTGGAAGAGGTCAGTATGAATCCCCTGGGTGACAGGCTCTTTTCCCTGTCCCCGTGAGCCCCAGCAGCTGGGAAGAGGGCTGACACCGTGCGAAAAGGAGTGCACCTCAGTCCATTTGGTCCCCCCTACTAAGGGCCCCCAACGCTCCCCCAGACAGAGCCCCCTCCCAGCCCAGCCCAGCCTGCATAGGTGGAGAGAGGACTGGAGAACTCCTGCCCAGATGTTGAACAGCTGCAAACTTCTGGCGGGGGGGGGGGCTCTGCAGCTGGGGTTGCTGACAAGCCTGATGAGGGTCTCAGAGCGGGGCTCAGAGGTCTCCAGGAGGGTCCTGCGTGCCCACCTCTGGCGCTACTCCCCGTCCCAACTCCGCAGGCACCGGGCGAGCGCGGCCCGAGACTCGCGCTCTCACACCCCAACCCACCACCCCGGTGTCATCTGAATAACATCCCCCGCCCTCCCCCGCTTCCCAAACAGCTGCGGCTGCCCCCGCCCTCCCAGGCCCCCTTCTGCACCATTTCGGGCCAAGGAGGAGGGGACAGACGGCGAGGGGGAGGGGGAGGGCCGCAGTTAAAATGTCAGCGCTCCGGCTGTCACCGGAGACCCCCTCCGCGGAAGGCGCCCCTGCCCCGCGCTCCAGGCCGTCGTCACCCCGCCGCCCGAGCCGGCGCGCCCCCAGCCCGCCCGCCGCCCCACCCGAGCCTGCGCGCCCCGGGGACCTGCGCCCAGCCACCGTCCCCACCGCAACTCCCCACACACAGTCCCCTCGCGATCGCCCGCCCGCCGCGAGTCCCGCCCGGGCTGCCCGTCCACGGCGGGGATGTCCAGACCCCTCCACCCGGCCCCACGACGGTGGGGGAGGGGGCCTCTTAAAGCGGCAGGCGTCCTGTTTTTCCCTACTCACCAGCCCCTAGGAGGGGAACGGGGTGTCACCGCAGGGAGCGGGCGGCCCTGGCCCCGGGCCCAGAAGCTCTTCAACCCCGGGAGGCCGCGGCACCGGGCGGGGGAATCACAGACGAAGCCGGCGTCCGCGCGGGCCCTGGGCGGCGCCGGGGGGCCCAGGCCCCCGTCGTGCGCGCGGGGGCAGGCGGTCGGGCGGCGGACGAGCGGGGGACCGGGGCAGAGCGCCCGAGCCGCTCCGACTGTTGTTGATATTTTGCTTCCTTCCTCCTTTCGGGCTCCAAAGGTAACTCCTCCAGCCCCCGGGAGTCGAGGCCGACGTAGGCACAGCTCAGCCTAGCTTGAGGGGCGGGGAGAGCGGGGCGATGGACAGGGGGAGCCGCCAATGGGAGGGACTGTGGGGGCGGGGCCCTCCGCGGGGCGGTCCCAGACTTCGGCCCCGCCCCTCGCTTCCCGGGGCGGCCGAGGCGGGCCGGCCCCCACCCTGTCCGCCGCCTCCCGAGCTCGGCCACGGCGCTGGGACCGGCGGATCCCTCCGCCTGCAGAGAGGGCGGGCGAGGCCCGGAACCTTCCCGGGAGGGGCCGGCGCTCACGGGGCCCTACGAGCTGGCCGGACGAATCGGCACTGCAGCCCCCGCGCTCCTGGAGGTCTTCCCGGGGAGGCCGGCGGCGACACGCATGCGACCTGGCGCCGCGCCCGTCCGGGCCCGGAGAGTTAGGAGGTGGGAGTCTAAGAGGCGGATGGGGGAGACTGAAAGTGGCGAACAGGCTCCGTCTGCCCCGCTCGGAGGGTGACAAAGCTCCACTTAAGAGACCACGTTTTTTCTGGGGGCGGGGGTGCTACCTGGGAAGCTGCCTACCGGTGACAGCCCCTTCCCTCCGGCCCGGCTGGGCAGACGCCCAGCAATTTAAAGCGACAGCTCATTGCTCTCGGGTGACCTAATCTTCAGGGCTGTGGGCCCCAGCGCACTTAGGCGGAGGGGGCAGTTTAAAGGGGCGGGACCCGAGGACCCCACCACTTCACAGGAAACACCCAGCAGCATCTCATTAAAGAAGCAGTAGCAGCGATTTTTAAACAGTATTTTCTTAAATTCCTGGTTGCCTCAGGGCGTGGTGAATGTTGAGTGCCTTGCAACAAGAGTGTGGGTGTCCTGGTCCTGAACGACTGGCCCATCAGGCATCCTGGCATGCAACCCTGCTGTCTGTGCATCCTGCTGCTCCTTACCTGGCACTTGAGGAAATGCCAGAATCTGGCTTAGACCTTAAAGAATCCTGAAGAACAGAAGGGCGCTCAGTTCTTCATCACACACCCTGATTTCTATCTGTCTAGCCCTGATTTTCCAGACAAAGACCCAATTCTGGATGAGAGCTGAGGAGACCAACATCTGCAGAAAAAGGAGCGAGGCAGGGTGTTTGGGAGCTGACTGCTGCGGCCTGGCCGTCTAGGTTCAAGCACCCACAAGCTGTGAACCCGGGCGTGTTATTTAACTTTACCTCAGGATCCCAGTGGCAAAATGGGGATGGCCATAGCAGGGCCTAGCTCGTGAATGTGCGGTGAAGATTGTTAAGTCAGTGCCTATGAGTGCACTGC